AGGACTTGGAGGTTGCTGTGAGCATGATGCCATGGCACTCTACCCAGGGGGATAGCTTGAGGCTCCGTCTCAAAAAAAAATAAAATAAAATAAATGTACCCCTTCATTACCTTCATTACTTCTGTTATGACAAATCATATCGTAAAAAATTATATGTGAACACTTCTACGAGTTGCCATGCCCTATCTCAGATGACTTAGCATTAAACTCAGAAGAGCAGGCTTGGCGCCCGTAGCACAAGTGGCTAAGGCACCAGCTACATACACCTAAGGTGGCAGGTTTGAATCCAGCCCGGGCCCGCCAAAAACAACAATGACGGCTGCAACCAAAAAATAGCTGGGCGTTTTGGCAGACGCCTGTGGTCCCAGCTACTTGGGAGGCTGAGGCAGGAGACTCGCTTGAGCCCAGGAGTTGGAGGTTGCTGAGAGCTGTGATGCCATGGCACTCTACCCAGGGGGATAGCTTGAGGCTCTGTCTCAAAAAAAAAAAAAAAAACAACTCAGAAGAGCAACTGATGTTTTGGTGAATCTTTGTAATTCACCAACCTATCTACCACATTTATTTGTGGGAATGTATTCATTTTTCTGCAGCCATAATAGAAAAGAGTTTCCCTTCTCTGGTAGCGTGCCCAAAAGTTAAGTCTTGGAATTCACTTGAAATCACCCCACCAAAAAAGAACAGACATTGGCTCAGCACCTATAGCTCAGCAGCTAGGGCACAAGCCACACACACCAGAGCTGGCGGGTTCAAGCCCAGGCCTGCCAAACCACAGTGACAACTACACCCAAAAAAAAAAAAAAAATAGCTAGGGAAAAACAAATAGCCGGGCATCATGGTGGATGCCTGTAGCCCCAGGTACTTGGCAGGCAGAGACAAGAGAATCTCTTAAGCCCAAGAGTTGGAATTTGCTGTGAGCTGTGAGGCCATGACACTCTACCAAGGGTGACATAGTAAAACTCTGTCTCCAAAAAAAAAAAAAAAAGAATAGACATAAGAAACTTAGTATACATTCTTCCCTCTGGGGAAGGAAAAAGGTAAATAAGAATTTTTGACAAATGTAATATAAAACTAGATATTTAATTATTTTTTCCTGAAATCCACTTCCTGAAAATTTTACCTTGTAAGCTCTACTGATACAGCACATTTATAGTTATTTTAAAAAAAAAAAAAAAAAACATGAAGACCAGGCATAATGGCTCACACTTATAATTGTAGCACTCTAGGAGGCGGAGGCTAGCAGACTGCTTCGGCTCAGAAGTTTGAGACCAGCCTGAGCAAGAGCGAGACCTATCTCTAAAAAAATAGCCAGGTGTTGTGGTCAGGTACCTGTAATTTAGTTACTCTGTTACTCGGGAGGCTGAAGCAAGAGGATTGCTTGAGCCCAAGAGTTAGAGGTTGCTGTGAGCTATGACACTACAGCATTCTACCAAGGGCAACAAAGTGAGAAAAATAAATAAATAAATAAATAAACTTTAAAAAAACTGAAATTGCAATAAGTGAACAAGTCTTTTTCAAGGGACAAACTCGGGAAGAGGCAGTGCCCACTAGGAACAGAGACACGTCCATGTCAGGTTCTATCAAAGAGGATATCCTCTCACCCCCATCCTGCTCACTGAAGTACTCACTGACCACCCTCCTAAGAGACACTGCATGGTGCTTCCTTGTGCCCAAAGTACATTCCGCTCTTCAAGTTCTTGTATCACTTCAATTGGCTGAGTTTTCCTATTCTTTAGGATTGTTTTTCTCCCTTCACTTGTCTGAGAGAATCCAGAAGGCAAGAATCATATGTCTTTCCCCTCAATACCATCATTCATTTATTTGGCTGGCCATAAATGTATCCCCAAGAGATGGAAGCTGAGTGCCCTACAGAGTGTTCTACTGAGATGAAGGGTATACCAACGGACTCCTGCCATCCTAGGACATCAAGCTGCTCCCTACAGAGGACCCAGCCATACCCTGCAGGCTGTCCCTCTGGGAAGAATGACCCAGTGGCTGATACTCACTAGACCCTCCAAGAGACAGGGTGGGCACTGTGGGTCAGCCCAGACAGTTCTGAAATCCAGGACTCAGTGGGCTGAGAACGCATTACCCTGTAAAGTTTCCCAAGGGGAACCTCAACCTGAAGACATTCCAATAAAGTGTCTCTCCCTAGGAATGATAAAAAGAGGAGAGACACAAAGATTTGTAAAAGCAGAGTGTTAGGTGGTTATTCTCTGTTTTCCTGTCATGCGAAATGTTCAAAAACAGAAAACAAATATTTCAAAAGCCATCCATTACTCCTTGGAAAAAATGATAAACAATTGCACTACTTCATCAGTTAGAAATGTACAATAAAGGACAAATTATTAATAATGTTGTGAATTGGTGAGGGGAAGTTGGCATCTAGGAATGCAGGGAAGGAACCAGAAATTCAGGATTTTACTGCAAAACCTAGTAAGAGTTAGGTTGACAGAACAAGGTAGAAGATTTGACCCAGGGAAAAATCAGTCCTCTTGGGAGAGTTTTAAAAATAATTAATTAGAAAATAATCTGATTGACGTGGTGACGGTGCCATTTGGTTTCCTACCCAAGTAAACCAAAATCTAACTCAAATGAAATTCTTATAAATCACCAATTTATAGGGAAAAGAAATTTAGGCTTAACAAACCACAACCTCCAATTAACTCTTGACTATATACATAACCAGAAAATTTCCACTAGGATGGACCAAATGAGGCGACTACCTAACTGTTACCAATGAAGTACTCAATTAGGTTTGCTCCTCATGCACCTAATAAAATTCTTTCCCTCAAGCCCCTCCAGTGGGCTCCCAAACCACAAATCATGACTGAGTGTTCCTCCTTCGTGAATCGCTGTTTGCTCAAATAAACTGTTTACTTTTTAACACTGCCTCCGTTTAATCTTTATCAGGACAAAGAAGGAACCGGGAACCCCACAGACAGCAGCTCCGCCCACGCACGACCCCCGCACCCCGAGTCAGACCCTCCCCCACAACTCTCCCGCCGTCAGCACACAATCTGGGGACATGCGAGGCTGCAGCCGCAAAGCTGCCCACAGAGGCTCTGGGGCCGAGGTCGCGGCGTACGATGGGGCAGAACGCCCGGGCCCCGCTGCCAGCCCAGCCCCACCCTAAGGAGCGGGGGGACCGAGGGCCGAGCTGAGCCAGCGCGGACTCAGGTCCGCAGACCCCGCAGCGAACCGGGGAGGCCCGGGTCCCGCCACAGCCGGTTCCAGCCGGTTCCAACCAGCCCCTGCGCCCGGTCTAGGGATTCCTGGCCCCGCACACTCACCATCTCCTGTTTCCTGGGGTGGCCCGGTGTCCTCCCTGAGATTCCCGCGACCGAGGCAGATCTTGGCGCTACGGACGCTGAGAAGGACACAGCGGGGCCTCCGGGTGAAACCAAGACACTAGCCCGAAGGGGGCGGGCGCGAGAAACAAAGGCTCCGTAGGGTGGTGTAAGGCCCCGCCCTCCTTTCCAGGGGCGCGTCTGATTTGACGGTTCTCAGGACCCCGCCCCAATTCCCCTGGTTGGATAGAGCATCAGGCTCCGCTCTGCTAGGCGTGTTTGACTAGAGAAGCCTTGGGAGGCGTAACGTGTAGAGCCGCTTTGACAGGTTCTAGCCACTGCCCCTCAGTCCCGGCTTCCTCCCCCACGGCCCGCCTCAGGGGTATTTGCATTTTAAGGAATTCGCTCTTCCTAGCTTGACAGAATGCCTTTGTCGTCTTCCTGCACTCAGTGGGCTCTTCCTTAGTCTTCCTTTTGGACCTCGGGGTCACAAGTGTGAACAGGGAATTCCAGATTCACTGTTCAATGCTTGGAGCCATCCGCTCGCTTCAGAGCAGGAGGGGAGTCCAGACTGGGCCAGAGAAGAATGGAACAGGAGGGAAAGCCAGATATCCTCCTGGGGTCAGGAATTTAGGATGAGGTTTGCCAAGGCTTCCTCACATATCGTCTTGTCATGGAAAAAAGCAGGAGTAACTGAGGTGAGAGGAAGGACACTCACTGAGGACAAAACATGTGGGATGAGACCCTAAATAATCTGTGGTATAAAAATTCGGGTCAGAGGATTCGGAGAAGATGGCAGACTGGAATGATTTGTTTTTAACTTTATTCAAATTAATATAAAGGTACAAGATTTAGGTTACATTGTTCTCACTTCCATTTATAGAAGAGTCCCTTACCCAGGGGGCGTGTTATACACCCTAACAGTGTGCACAAAAACATGCAACGCTTCATGAATCCAGGTGCCATCCTTGCGCAGGGGCCATGCTAATCTCTATATCGTTCCAATTTTAGTATATGTGCTGCTGAAGCAAGCATGGCAGACTGGGAATTACTGAACAATTTGTCTTCCCATCTACCGTGTTTCCCCAAAAATAAGACACTGTCTTATATTTATTTTTTCTCAAGACACACTAGGACTTATTTTCAGGGGATGTCTTATTTTTATTAAGGATAATACAACAATCTACGTTTATTCAAATACAGTTAAGTCATTTTCTTCTGGAACTTGACAGGGGGAGTCGACTTTGTTGGTGGGGCTGGCGCTAGTGATGCGTGAACTCCTTTCCCCTAGCGGTTCGCACGTGCGCAATAGGATGCCTGTGACCCCAGTTACCATAAGCACACCTGCACAAGTGCAAATGGCTCGCAGAAAGGAGCTGTGGCAGATAAAAGGTATCCCAGTCTTCCTTACCGCTCTACACTGAAATGCAGGGTGTGGCTATGCAGATATGCTGCATACCCACGCCCATCACTAGGTCTTACTATCAGGGTAGGGCTTATATTTAACAAATGCGTAGAAATCCTGCTAGGGCTTATTTTAGGGGTAGGTCTAATTTTGGGGGAAACAAGTTAGAAAACGATTCCACTGTCAGGAACTGACTGATGTAGCTATTTTGGAACTGTGGGGTATATTGAAATTTTTTGACTTCCAGCAAAAGTATTGGGATTGGTTGATAAATTGTAGTTAATTTTGGTCAATTTCAAGTCTTAGTTCAATAGCAGCTACCCACCCTGCCCTCCCAGCTCCATAGCAGGCAGCTATGTATGAGTTCCACCAGCAGTTTTCATGCAGCTTTTGGAGCCAGGATGGGCAAAAAGGAACCGTGTCATCCAAATATTGGGGACCTGTCCCCTGCTTGTTAATAGTTGCTTCTAATCAAAGAGATGCAGAAAGGTGAGTGGCCATTTGTTGTTGCATCTTCCCCCTTTGGTAGAAGGTCCTTTTCCTCCTAAAAAAAAAAATAAATAAAAGGCCAGTTGTGTCTGCCAAGTGATAGAAAGGGCTGATGATTTTTTTTTTTTTTGCAGTTTTTGGCTGGGGCTGGGTTTGAACCCCCCACCTCCGGCATATGGGGCCGATGCCCTACTCCTTTGAGCCACAGGCGCCGCCCCAAGGCTGATGATTTTTATATTTTTCCTTAACTTCTTTTCATCCTGGGAGCCAGACATTGAAGCTTGGGTTATACAAAAGCAAACACATATACAATGAAAATTACAGAGTTACCATAGGTGCCCACGGAAAGGTGCAAAAAAGAAGAGACCTGAGAAGAACTTAAGTTTACACTGCAGTCTATTCCTCAGTATAGTGACACTCAACAAACAATTTTTACATAAGTAAATAAAAATCAGCCAACTATAGGGGGTCTGATTTCCAAATTTATCACATCTACATGCCCAGTCTTATCATTAAAATATTCACATTTCTACTTTCCAAAGAACATCCCGAGGCAGACAAAGTAACAGGAAAATTTGGCTCATTCATGTAAACATACTGCTTTGACAGAAACCGTCCTTAAGAAGATGCAGATGTCAGAGTGTATCTTAACATATACAGATAAAAACTCTTAAAAATGAATCTTGTGGCTCAGCACCTGTGGCTCAAGTGGCTAAGGTGCCAGCCATGTATACTAAGGTGGCAGGTTCGAATCCAGCCCAGGCCCACCAAACAACAATGACAGCTGTAACCAGTAAAAAATAGATGGGCATTGTGTTGGGTGCCTGTGGTCCCAGCTACTTGGGAGGCTGAGGCAGGAGACTCTTTTGAGCCCAGGAGTTGGAGGTTGCTGTGAGCTGTGATGCCACAGCACTCTACCCAGGGGGGACAGCTTGAGGCTCTATCTCAAAAAAAAAAAAAATTAATCTTGATGCCAGGCACAGTGGCTCACACCTGTAATCCTAGAACTCTGGGAGGCCCAGTCAGGTACATTGCTTGAGCTCAAGAGTTCAAGATCAGCCTGAGCAAGAGTGAGACCCCTATCTCTATTAAAGTAGAAAAATTAGCCTAGCAGTGCATTCCTGTAGTCCCAGCTACTAAAGAGGCTGATTAAGGGGGTTGCTTGAGTCCAGGAGTTTGAAGTTGCTGTGAACTATGATAATGCTATGGCATTCTAGCCTGGGCTATGGAGAGTGACTCTATCTCAAAAAAAAAAAAAAAAGTATCTTGAATACTCTCAAAGATCTAAAGGAAAATATGGACAAATGGACAAAGACATTGTGTAAAAAGATGTGTAAAAAATGAGAGTATTAATAAAAATAAATTGTAAAGAGAAAATATATAAAATGGAAATCCTCAGGCAAGCAAAAGTACAATAATTGAAATAAAAAAATTACTAGATGGGTTGATAGCAGACACAGGAAGATAGAAGAATCAGTAAACTTTAGATTAAAGCCATTTAAATTATTGAGTATTAATACTGTAGAAAAACAAGTGAAGGGAGCGGCGCCTGTGGCTCAAAGGAGTAGGGCACTGGCCCCATATGCTGGAGGTGGTGGGTTCAAACCCAGCCCCAGCCAGAAAGAAAAAACTGCAAAAAAAAAAAAAAAAAAAAAAGAAAAAGAAAAGAAAAACAAGTGAAGGAAAGTGAAGTGAGCCTAAGATATCCGTAGTATGCCACCAAGAACACAAACATATATATGTGGATGTCCCAGAAGGAACAGAGAGAAAGAGGGCAAAAAGACTGTTTGAGCAAATAATGCCTGAAAAGTACCCTACTGTCATGAAGTTAGAAAAAAAAAATCTATAAATCCCTAAATCTTAACTAACCCAAAGTAGGATAAATTTAGAGACCTACAGTGAGACACATTATAGTAAAACTGTCAAAAGACAACGAGAATCTTCAAAGCAGCATGAGAGAAGCAACTCATCACATATAAGTAATCCTCAATGAAATTATCAACCATATTTCTTATAAGAAATCTCAAACACAGCTCAGCGCCTGTGGCTCAAGTGGCTAAGGCGCCAGCCACATATACCTAAGGTGGCAGGTTCGAATCCAGCCCAGGCTGCCAAAACAACAATGATGGCCTGCAACCAAAAAATAGCCAGGCATTGTGGCGGGCACCTGTGGTCCCAGCTACTTGGGAGGCTGAGACAGGAAACTCACTTGAGCCCAGGAGTTGGAGGTTGCTATGAGGTGTGATGCCATGGCACTCTACCCAAGGGGACAGCTTGAGGCCCTGTCTCAAAAAAAAAAAAAAAAGAAAGAAAGGAAGAAAGAAATCTCAGACACCAGTAATAGTTTGATATATTTCAAGCAGTGAAAGAAAAAGAATGAACTGTCAACTGACAATCCTATATCCAGCAAAACCATCCATAAAAAATAAGTGAGAGGGATGGCGCCCGTAGCTCAGTGGATAGGGCGCCAGCCACATACACCTAGGTTAGCAGGTTCAAACTCAGCCCAGGCCAGTTAAAACAAGAATGACAACTGCAACAACAACGACAAATAAAAAAAGTAGCCAGGCGTTGTGGTGGGTGCCTATAGTCCCAGCTACTTGAGAGGCTGAGGCAAAAGAATCACTTAAGCCCAAGAGTTGGAGGTTGCTATGAGCTGTGACTACATGGCTCTCTACCCAGGGGACAGTTTGAGACTCTGTCTCAAAAGAAAAAGTGAGAGGGCCAGGAACGTGGTGGCTCACCCCTGTTATCCTAGTACTATGGGAGGCTCAAGTAGGTGGATCCCCTGAGCTCATGAGTTTGAGACCAGCCTAAGCCAAAGCAAGACCTTGTCTCTAAAAATAGCCAGAAGCTGTGGCGAGTGTCTGTAGTCCCAGCTACTCGGGAACCTGAGGAAAGAGAATTGCTTGAGCCCAAGAGTTTGAGGTTGCTATGAGCTGTGACGCTGAGGGTGAGTGAGAGGCCCCACGCAGTGGCTCATACCTGTAATCCTAGTACTCTGGGAGGCTGAAGTGGACGGATTGCTTGAACTCAGGAATTTGAGACTAGCCTGAGCCATAGCAAGACCCCAACTTTACTAAAAATAGAAAAACTTAGGCAAGAGAATCACTTGAACTCAAAAACTTGAGGTTGCTGTGAGCTATAAGTGCTTATAGCGATAAGCTATAAAGTGCCATGGCATACTATTCAGGGTGCTAGAATGAGATTCTGTCTCA